CGACAAAATTGAACTGCTCGAGACTGTGCTATTGAAGTGCGTTTCCCTACACACCAAGGTATCAGCCTCACAGTGGAATTTGTACCGGACATCTGGTAACGCCATGATCTGTCAGCATGGCCAACATTAATGGTGGCAAGCAATTTGTGTGGGACAACCCACCACTTAGTTGGTAACCCCTTTGCTGTTTTACTATTCAATGGAGAAACGGTAAATCTTGCCACCCAACAGGTCCCTTGCATTCAGAACCGTCAGCCTGAAGAGCCTACACCACGTGTATTTTAAAGCGACACTCGTACTTACTCCGAAGGCACCTTCAACAGGCGTGACCCACACTATAAGCTTATGACAACACCCCTTGCTGAACTGACTGTGGCGTCCACATGAAAAACATGGAGTGAAGTGATTGCTGACATGATCTTCGAAATCATCACAGACTACTGCCAAGTGACAAAAAAGTGTTTATACCAGCGCGCTGAGGTGGATGTGGGTGAGTAAATGAATATCAAAGTGGGTGGACGAATGCCCCAATGAACACTGATGCACGATGTTGTCAAAAGACACAGCGAGTTACAATGAACAAGGGGTTGTGGTCAGGGTTAAGTAAGGACATCAAGAATTTTGCAAAGGCGTGTCCGACAGGGTCGACTAAAAGGAGGCGATTTGATGTGTGAAGCTCTCCATTTCACCCATCATAGCCGCATGATCACGAACGGGATTTCACCGTTGCCATTAGAGGCTGCACTCGCTCTCAAACTGTTTGCGCTTTCTTTCGTATTCCTCCTTTGTGGCCTGTTTCTCCGTGTCCGTCCACTTGATCATCTCCTCACACTTCGCAAGTAACTTTTTTCGGTTCTTCCCTGATATCTTCTGCTTTACCTCCTCTTTCTCCAATTTTCTTTTAGTGCTGTAGATGCAGTCCAATAGCGCATTCATCGCTGCCACCCTACTCCTCTCCTTCTTATCCTCCTGCTTGAACTTCTCCGCCTCAGCCAGCATTAGCTTTGCCTCCTCCTCAGACAGGTGACCCTTGTACTTAGTGATAGTGATGCTGTTCTGCTTCCCAGTAGACTTTTCCACTGACGACACATGAAGAATGCCATTTTCGTCAATTTCAAAGGTATCTTCAAACTTAATCTCACCACGCGGCTTTGCTGGGAAACCCTTTACCAAAAACTCGCCCAAAAAGTAGTTGTCTTTGGCCATCGCACGTTCACCCTCAAAAATACTGGTGAGCACACTTGTTTGATTATCGCTAGCTGTTTGGGAACTGCATGTCTGCTTTGTCGGAATTCGTGTATTTCGCTTTATCACCGTCACCATTGCACCATAGGAATCCTT